TTACAAACTTTAAAACATTATATAAATGCTATTATATCTATAGCTATCTATATCTATAGTTCTCTATCTATATAGCTATCTAAATCTATATGCCTCTCTATATCTCTGTATAGAGATATAGCTATATTATTTACATCTGCATATTATTCAAACAGAGGTATTTCTATTTGAAAGTATCTCGTGGAAATGTTACCAAGGACCTGGTGAAACAATAACTTTTCTCTGTCTTTGTCGTTTCTAAAAGAAATGTTTCAGCCATGTAGAAACAGAGAATTTTGTTCAGCGCCTCGCATACTAGAGTTTAATGAGTAGGGGAGTAACTTGGGCAGATCTATTAAAATGAGTAGAGGTTAAGTTACAGTGAGAACAGACATGACTGAGGTGAGGAGATCCATCAGAAAGTTGCTACAATAGTCCAGGCAAGAGATAATGAGGGCCTGGTCTAGGCTGGCAGCTATGTGAATGGAGAAAAGGAGATATATATGATCAATATTGTGGAGGAAGAAATGACAAGATTTTGCAACTGATGGGATATATGGAGTGACTGAGAGATTGCAAACCTAGATGACTGGAAGGATGGTGATACCCTTGACAACAATAGAGAAATACAGAAGAGAAGAAGAGAGTTGGGTTGCCTTTTTTTTTTTTTGGAGTTCTGTTTTGGACTTCTTGAATTTGACTTGCCTATGGAAAATCTAGCTTAAAATGTCCAGTTGATGATACATGTCTGGAGATCACGAGAGAGACTCAGGCTAGATCAACAGATCTGGGAATCTTCTGCATAGATACAATAATCGAATCTGTGGGAATTGATGAGATCACCAAGCAACAGATTAGAGAAAAGATAAGAGGGCCTAGGACAAAGCCTTAGGGGACACCCACAACTAGTGGGCAGAGCATGGATAGAAGATCCAGCAAAGGAAACTGAGAAGGAATGGTCAGACTAGTTGGAGAGGAACCGAGAGAAAACATTATCAATAAAAGCCAGTGGGGAGGGTAAATCTAAGTGGAGAACATGGTCAACAGTATCTAGAACTATTGAAAGGTCAAGAAGGGACTGACAAAAGGTCATTATATTTGACAATTATAAGGTTGTTGAAGATCCCTTTGGAAAAAGCAGTTTCAATTGAATTATGAGGTTGGGAGCCAGATTGAAGAAGGTTCAAAAGAGAATGAAAAGAGAAGAATTTGAGGCAGCAAATATAGATGGAATTTTTAAGGTGAGTAGCTAAGAAAGTTAAGAAAGTCCTAGGATGATAACTACCAAAATAGTAGGATTTCATGACAGGTTTTTTGTTGTTGTTATTGTTTATTTTTTTAAGGACAAAATAGCTGGGCTTGTTTGTAGGCAGTAGGCAAGATTCTAGTAAATAAGTAAAGATTGAAGACTAGAGGGGACAGGTGGATATGGGGGGGTAAGATGAGGAGCAGGGGAGAAAACAGAACTCTCATTGAATAGCCTCCATTTTTTTTGTGAAGTATGCAGAGGTCTTTATCGGAGAGAAAGTAGGGAAAGTGTGTCATGTGACATTTAAGGAGGGAAGAAAAGGTTAGAAAGAAATGAGTACCCAGTAAATGCATGTTAAATAATTGACTAACAGAGTTGAACTCTAAAATGACACTCTAACTGTAATTGCAAACATTCTATTGTACTGAATTAAACTCATGCTTTGTAATTGAGGAATTGATAAAAGGTCAAGGCTATTTTTCCAAAACCATGTCTCTCAGGAAGGACTGCCTGAGTTCTTGGTTGGTGGCTGAGAAAGCAGGTTCAGGAGATATGTGTTGAACACAGAGGATAGCCACAAACTCTCCTGGACACTTCGTTGCCATCATGACCATCCTCAGCATCTGATTACTCAATATCCTCAATATCTGCATCAGTATCAATGTCAGTTGCATCATTATGTCAGCTACCATCATCAACATCATCATTACCTTGGCAGTTCCAAACAAGGATTCCCAGGAATGCTTAGAGCAGTGACTCTGAATAAATGGGAAGCCTCCCAAGTTAATCACTTAGAAAGGGACTAATCTCCTTTGCATTTAAAAGATCATCTGTAGGTTAAAAATAAATCCTTGGACTTTATAGTAATACCTCATATGTCTATGTGTAGATGGTTGATGTGGTTTGAGTGAGGACACTGGACAGGAAGATGACTGTATTGATAATTAATTAATGAGTAAATGCTAATTAAGTACTACAATCCAGACACAATGCAGGATGCAGAGGACACAAAATTCAGAGAATGAAATGATCTCTCTTCTCAAGGAACTTTATTCAGGTGATATCACAAACACACAGACACATACACCCACCCACCCCCCCCCCCACACACACACACGTCTACTCAGAATAAAAATATACAAAACAAATACAAAAGAAATAAATACAAGATAGAGGGAAGAGCACTGACATTTAATGGTGGTGGTAATGGGATAGGAAAGGCTCCCTGTAGAATGTGCTGCTCAAGGGCATCTTGCAAGAAGAGAGGAATTCTATGAGGCAGAAGGAAAGGACTGCATTCCAGACATGGAGAATAGCCAGTGTAACATCACAGAGCAGGGAGACAGAGTTCCCTGTACAAGATACAAAGAGAAGGCCAGTCGAGTACAGTAATAGGAATACACGTCAAACACAGGTTTAGAATCTTAAACACTTCCCTTTTTCAGTCCCAACATACACTATTAAGTACTGGTTGGGCCATTTGTGTTAATAAAGTATAAGATTTCAGGAAATCCCAGAAAATGGAAAATGGCTAACTCCGTATTCCCACATCTATTGATTTTCACATTTGCTGAGTATGAGAACTTATCTGGCCAAGACAGAATGAAAAATGGCCTTAAAAAACAAATAAAAGAGTTGTTTTTGCTTGTTCATTTCTTTATATAGTGGAAAGAATAAGATATAAGAAGGCACAGCATCACTGCTTAAAATGGGTAGGATACTGACTGAATGACTGAATGACTGAAGACAATAAAAAATCAGATCTATTCACTCTTTTGTTTTCATTTTCTCTGCCAAGATTTAGCTTTAGTCAGGAAGACCAGAACAAATGTGGCAAACAGTTAGTTGATAACCAAAGAAAACAGTCAGGTAGAACATCTAGCCTTCATGATGAGTTCAAGCTACTTGGTCCAGGTGAATTGCATCCTGGGTACTGAAAGAACTGGCAGCTGTGAATGATAAGACACTGTCAGTGACCTTTGAAAGATCATGAATAAGTAGAGAGATAACATAGGCCTGGTCAAGAAGAAACTTCTCCCACATGTCAAAATGGGTATAAAGATGGAGCATTTAAACTACAGGCCAGTGAGCTTGATTTTGATTCCTGGGGAAATTCCATGATGGACTGAAAAAAGGTTGGTTAGTGACCGTCTGGAAGAGGAAGTACTAATCACCAAGCACCAGGATAGCTTCATCAAGAACAGGATAGTGTCATAACTACCTTATTTACTATCTTTTAAGGGTGGCTAAATGGTTAGATTAGAGAAATGTTATAGACATAGGTTACCTAGATTTTAAGTATTTGATAAAGTACCTCTTATTATTAGTCTTCTAGGGGGGAAGGGGGATAAATGTGGAGTAGGCAACAGAAAAATTAGAAGCACTACAGTCCTTGGACCCGAATTCTAGTCTTTAGAGGGGAAGGAGGAGGGAATAAACATTTATTTGGCACCTATTGCATGCCAGCATTGTGCTGTGTGCCTTACAGATATTTTCTCATTTGATCTCCACCCTGTGAGGTAGGTGCTACTTTAACATCTTCATTTTACCATTGAGGAAACTGAGGCAAACAGAGGTTAAATGATTTGCCCAGGGTCACATATCTAGGAAGCATCTGAGGCTGGATTTGGATGGGGGTCTTCCTGACTCCAGGCCCAGTATTCTCTCTATTGTACCACCAAGCTAGAGCCCCACTCTTTCTCTAATCACAAGACATGAGTATTTTGTTTGGTTCTAAGTGAAAAATTTTAAAAGAACATTGATATGAAGAGCTTTGAGTTCATACCATATAGGAACCAATAGAAGGACTTAACAGTGTTTAACTTGAAGAAAAGAAGATGGATGTCAGGCTGTATAATAACTGTCACATGGAAGGGAGACTGGATGTGCTCAATTTGACCCAATGGGCAATCCTCAGAGTAATGGGTAGACATTACAAAGAGACCAAGATAATCTTGATCTAAGAAAAAAAATCTTCCTAATAATTAGAGTTATCCAAAAGTCAAATGAGTTTCCTTGCAGGGTGGAGAATAATAGGTATCCCCCTCATTGGGTATCTTCCACCAAACACTAGACAATGACTTGTCCAGTATTGGGAGAAGGGAGTGAACCAAATGACCACTAAGGCACCTTCTAATATGAAATTCTATGACTATATGAATGAATTAGAAGCGTCTCTAAAACCTACCTTGGCATGTCCTAGTGTTTATTTGAGAAGTGTGATCATAGTAGGGTTGCCTGAGTACCTGATAGTTCTGTTTTGTAGACCCCACCTAAACATATACCTAATGACTTAGACATATGAAAGAATAGACAGGCCTGGAAGCCTTTGGTGGGGTGAAGAGCATGGTAATCTACATGTTCCCTGGAAGTATGTGATGAAACAGACCAGTACCTTCAGATGCCCAGGGGTGAATGGATTTCTCGGTATCATGGCTGTATGAGACAACATAGTGAATTCTAAGAGTCATAGGCCACTTTAGGTTTAGTACCGGGGTGGGGGGAGGGTGGGGAGAGTATATCCCAAACTGGAAAAGGCATTTGACAATCGAAATAAACCATGTAGGTCGACCCCTTGTTGAATATCTGTATGATTAACTTAGAATCATGAGAGAATGGGGTTGGGGAATGTCAAGAACTGCCTTGCACATGGGCAGTTCCTGGCACATTCCTTAGATTGTTAAAGAGCCTTCTCCTCCCACGGGTGCTGTCTCATGGTAGCAGTGGAACCTGGGGATCCCCTATAAAAGGTGCCCTGGGCACTGGCTCTTCACGCAATCTCCCTCCTCACGTCCAATCCCTTCAGCACAGGTGATTAAGGTAAGTGATTCAAAGCCCTGAGGGAGGGCTTGGGACAAGGGGTTTCAGGAAGAGAATTGCAAACCCAAAAGCAGGAGAGACAGAGAAAAGAAGGAACTGGGGGAATGAATAAGGAAAGGTAAAGGCAGAGGATGCTAGAGAGATTCAGAATCATGGGGAAAAGCCAAGCAGTATGAGAAGGGAAGCTAGCGAGGAATAAAAGTTTGTTATTCTTTGTATTTATTCTAGACAGAACAATACTGGTTCTAGTTCTCCCAATAGCACCAAAGTGCTGGCCAGGGGCATACCTGTTCTAACCCAAACAATGAACTAGGCAAGACCAACTAATAAGAGAGATAGAACCAAGGGCCTTCCCAGAATGTCCTTGGAGAAAAAAATTTTGAGGAATTGGGGAGCTGGGTGTGGCAGATCCCTGAAATCAAGATCATTGGTGCTGGTAGGGCCCCTTAAGGCCACTTCATTGAAATGAGGAACTGACCATAGTACTCCCCCCCAGGGGTTCATAACCTGGAGTCTGTGAACTTGTTTTTAAAACATATTTTGATAACTGTATTTCAATATAATTTGTTTCCTTTTACCTATTATTTTATTTTATAAATTTAAAAACATTTTGAGAAGAGGCTTCACAGGACTGCCGCCTTGACACACACAAAAAGATAAAAGTCTGTAAGCTAGACAGGAAATTTTGCACATATCAGCTTTACTTGCTAGTTCAGTTGGGTGTGAGAGAAGACATGGGGAGCACGGCTGGTCTTAAATTGTGGTGCTTTGGACCACAGTATGATTTCTCTCATTTTTCATGACTTTTTGCGTGCATTTGTAGATGTTCATTCTTCCACTGATGAATATCAAAAGCAACCCCCCAAAAAATGTTTATTTAGGATTTAAGAAAAGGAGAAGGAGACCCAAGGCCCAGAAAGAGAGGAGGGTCCAGTGGCCATAACTTGCCATGAAACCAAGAGAAAATGGTGGATTCTAGGGGTGCTTTGGGGCTAGCCCCTGTAAGAGAAGGAAACTGGAACATTCGGTCCCCTGAGTCAAATTAGTCTCTGCTTTCTTGGAATTCTCTGCCTCTATGAGGACTGGGTTGATAGATACCTACTTCTTGGCCCCATATTCCAACCCAAACTAAATTTATTGGAGGGAAAAGCTCTGCAGGTCTTCCCTTTCTGGATGTAAGTGGGATCTAGTCTCTTACCACAAATGCAAATAAATTCTTAACTGAAGTTTGATGTTTCTTCTGTATTGTCTTTCAGTTTGAACTTCTGCAGAAATGTCCTGTCAGCAAAGCCAGCAGCAGTGCCAGGCCCCTAAGTGCCCCCCTAAGTGTCCTCCCAAGTGTCAGACCCCTAAATGTCCTCCAAAGTGCCCACCCAAGTGCCCTCCTAAATGCCCTCCCAAGTGCCCTCCCCAGGCTCCCTGCCCTCCTCCAGTCTCTTCCTGCTGTGGCTCTAGCTCTGGAGGATGCTGCAGCTCTGGGGGATGCTGTGGGTCCAGCTCTGGGGGGTGCTGCAGCTCTGGCTCCGGGGGCGGCTGCTGCCTCTTTTCCCATCACAGGAGATCCCACAGACGCAGGCACCAGAGGTCTGACTGCTGTGACAGTGGCAGTGGGCGCAGCCAGCAGTCTGGGGGCTGCTGCTGATCACCTGGTTCCCTTCACCAAGAGAAGCAGCCTTATAATAGAATCAGTGGCTGATCTCCTGCCTCGCCCTCCCTTTTCTTCACGCCAAGATGTTCCATGCAGCATTTGATCTGCAGAAACCCTTAAATGCCCTGTGCCTTGCATCTACCTAACTTCAATTCCACTTTTCTGCTTTGTTCATTGACTTACAACATTAAATCATTTATTTATGGCTCTATTTGTCTTGCGAAAATCATCTTTCTCTATGTATCTCATCATCGGGCGGCCCTCCTTTCCAAAATCTCAGCTTTGCCTAGTTAAAAGACCAATTCATATTTTGAAAGCAACACTGATCATTTGTAATCTGTGTACACCTCACTGTAAGAAAAATTCTATGTTATCAATTAGAAAACAGAACTGGAAAGGACTTTCCACACCTCTCATTCTACAGATTAATAAACAACCCCAGGAAGACCAAATGATTTTCCTAAGGTCACTTATCAAATTAGTGGCCATTTGGTACTGTAACTAAATCTTCCTAATCCCTAAACTGGTCCTATTTTCTCAATACAAAACTGATATTTGGAGAAATTCATAAAACCAATAAATTATTCATTGAAATTGCCATTAAAAATGCAGAATTTGGAATAAGGAGGCTCTTATTAGAGCCTGTTTTGCCTCATTCTGGCTGTGCCGAAGTCACTGTACCACAGGAACTATGTGGAAAGCTCTTTTCAAGGCATTTTGCATAATGTCATGTCTGGGGAACTGCCCAGCTATGACATCTTCACAGAGTGCCCCCTACCTCTGCCTTTTTCTTCGACATCAATACTGATTGGGACATACTGTATGTAGATGTCCCTCACTTTATGGAACACAGTTGCGTTGTCAAGGAAGCTAATTTCTATAAAATTAGTCATACTTCCCCACTCGCAACAAGCATTGTGCTATTGGGACATCAGCACTTTCTTACGGAATCATGGTACATGTGGCAAGGTCAGTATATGTGGCTTCAGTTCTGCCAGGAATGATGCCACAAAGTGGTACCAATTAACTGAGGCCAATTTATGGAGACTTTTCCCAGATGCAAGAATAGAAATCCACTTGTTTACAACTCAATTTAATTCCACAAACATTTATTAAGTGCCTACTATATGCAAGACAGAAGCAACCTAAAGAAGAGATGGGCTTGGTGTATCTGGTTCAATTTTTGCCTTTGACACTTAACTAGCTGGGTAATTCTGTTATCTGAGTTACTAACTTTTCTGTACCTCAAGCAACCCCTTTAGGACTTAACTACTGAGTTACAATTTCAATCTGTAATAACGGAGGGAGTTCCCATACCAGGATTTCCCACACAGTTGAAATCACAGCTCTTGAGTATGTACAAGGCAGTAGGGGCTGAGGATACTAAAAGAAAAAACTGGTCCCTAGTTTTACATTCTACTGGGGTATAAAACACGTACATGCATGGGAATTTAAGGAGGGGGAGGGCTAATAACCTGGAAAATCAATAAGGCTTCATGCTGGAAGTAGCCTTCAATGAACAAACAAATGAATGAATGAAAAGTATTTATTAAGCATTTATGTATATGTATATATATAATATATATACATATATGTATATATACAAGCAATCAAGCAAGTTCACGTGCACAAAGAGTTTCCATTTTAATAGGAGAAGACAACACCTATAGGGGAGTGGTAGCCAGAGAGGAATATTTTGTTCATGGAAGTCAAGAGGATGGAGATTGGAAGAATAGGGTAATCAATTGGCATGTCTTTTCCAAGAAGGGTAGGGTTGATTTGAACACTGTTCTCATATCTAGAATTGGAAAGTAGAGGGGAGGAGTGGGGAGTGGGAGGGTACATTTGCCAAGTCATGGCATAAAGATGGCCAGGAAGAAGTAAGATGAGCCTCAGTCTGGACATGATCAGGTGAATGAATACTCATCTGAGAGAGACCCATAGTTCTGGGATGGAGGAGGGGCAGATTTGAATTCCAGGTTGAGGTGGAGGCTGGAATGCCCATAACCATGGGGAAGGAATGCAATACTAGGTATGGGGATGATGGACAGTAATTTCCAGAGACAGGACATGGAATGTTGGGTTTGAGGAACAGCTAGTCCTCCATTCAGGCTGGATTGTAGAGCATGTGAAGGGGGAAAAAAAGTTGTAATGATACTGGAGGACCTTAAATGCCAGTCTAAAGAGTGGGTTACAAGAGACCTCTGAGGAGCCATCAAACACCCAAGTTACATATATTCCCTACATCAGACAAATCGTCTAACAAGGATTTAGCCTGGGGTCTGTGAACTTCTTCGTTTGGTTTTTTAAAGTATTACAATAACTAGATTTCAATCTAACTGGTTTCCTTTTGTAATCCTATGTATTTCACTTTATGTATTTAAAAATGATTCAGAGAAGGGCTTTACCAGACTGCCCAAGGGGTCCATACACACAAAAAAGTGAAGAATCCCTTCTCTAAAATCACCTCAGTATTCTCCTCTTTACAATGGCAGGGTTCAATTTAACGATCATTTATTGAGTACTACGTGTAAAGTACTGTATGTGCTCAGGTGCATAAAGACAAATGAAAACAGTCCCTATCCAGGGTCTTACCTTCAATGGATTTTTTTCTTTTTTTCAGCGGTTGATTCATGCTACTCATAGGCATACACATCTGCATACAGTTAGGTAATGGGTATTTTCACACACGTAGTATAGCAGATAGAGCTGGCCTTGGAGTCAAGAAGACCTGAGTTCAAGCCCTACCACTGATCTGTACTTGCTTTTGACCCTGGGCAAGTCAGGTCATTTCATCTCTCAGTTACTAAATTAAATTAAAATTTAAAACCACAAATTACAATGCAGGTTAGGAACTGCACTGGGAGAGGGATTTTTCTCTCTAGGAGTTCCTTACACCAATGAAATTTCAGGTCAGTTGGCTCTCCCCTCTCCCTCTGCACACATAGGTAAGGTATCATAGTATGGTAAAGAGTGTATTGGCCTTGTGGTCTTGAATTAAGAAGACCAGAGCATGAATTCAAGCTCTCATACATACTACCTAGCTATATGCCCAGGGACAAAACATATCACCTCTCTGTGCCTCAATGACCTAATCTGTAAAACCTGGATGATACTTGTTGCTACTTTATAAAGTTGTTGTGAGAAGAGCGTTTTGTAAGCCTGAAAGTACTGTTTTAGCAGGTATTTCTTTTTATTTTTAATAAGTTCTTATCGATGTCTCTCCTTACTTATATCATCATAGTTATCCCAAGTGTCTCTCTCCCTCCCTCTCCCAGAGAGCCATCCTATTCACCAGATGGTACACAGAGGCAGGGTGGGGTAGGAGAACATTTGTTGACCCTGGAGTTAGGGGGCCCTGGGTTCAAATTCTGTCTCTGTCACTTATTACCTATGTGATGTTGAATAGTTCACCTCAATCCTGCCACCCTCCATTTCCTCATCTGTAAAATGAGATATGTTTGGAAATGGGTTTGATGGATACAAAGAAAAAATACAGCAACAGGGGTCTGTACATGGGGGTTAGTCTACTCTAGATCTATCAACTTTTTTTAAAAAAATTTATAACTGTTTCAATATGATTGGGTTTTTTGTAATACTACATATTTTACTTTATGCATTTTAAAACGTTATTCTGAGGAGTCAGTAGTCTTCATTCACCAGACTGCCAGAGAGGTCCATGTGACACAAGAAAGGTTAAGAACCCCTGATCTGCAGGGTCTCTGTGGTCCTTCCATCTCTTGACCCTCTGATCTTTTCCTCATTCAAACAACAAAGGGGACAGCTTGTTTCTTTGGGCTTCACAGAGAATCGGTCAGTCTCCTCTTGCTTTCCTCTTTTAGAAGCTGCAAGGGAACATGTCCGTGCATTCATTTGGTGTTTCCACTTTCTAAGGCCTTTGCCTCAGAAAGTGCATGATGTCCCTCAAAGAGTATCACACAGACTTCTTGAGATTGAGGGTGGGATCAAAGCTCTCACTCAGCTGGAAACTATCTTGCTAAGTAAAACACAGGTGAAAGAGAGAAGCCAAACTGCTCCCCCCACCTCCAGCTCCTCCTCACAAGGCTGTCCTTGGGATGCTGTCCATCCCCTCACCACCGCCCCCAAGCCCACCAGGAGGGGCAGGAGCCAAAGGGTCAAGAAGTGGTGACCAGGTTAGCAACATGGGGAACAGAAGGAAGAGACAAAAGAACAGAAAGTGGAAACAACCAGATGAATAAGGAAGCATGTTTCTTTGCTGAAAGAGAATGGTCAAGACATCGATTCATACTGAGAAAGAGGAGGATGGAGGAGGGGAGAGGAAAGTTAATGGATGGGGTGACCCAGCAGGGGTCAGAGGTCATGAGGGCACTCAGGTGGACTAATTGGCCACTGATGCATATTCATTTTCTGACATCAGCGGGGCTGCTAGCCCAAGAGGGAACGGGAATGGAAGGGGGAGGGAGCCAGCCCCAGCCTTTGACTTGTTCTCTCTCCAGCTTCTGACTTGGGTTGTCACTGTGTTCCTCACTATCCCAAACAAGAAAAAAAAATTTTTTTTTTAAAAAAAAAGCAAAAATGACAATGAAAAATACAATCTTATTCTGAGTATTCCAATAACTTTCTGGTGTGTGTTTGTATTTAGTTGTACAACAAATACTTTGCTTACGTGGATGGTTAAAAGGCCAAAGATAGATTTCCATTTTTTTCTGCCTTTCTTTTCTTTGTCTATAGAGTTGATGTTTGGGGGTTTGGGTTTCGACTTTGTTTTGTTTTGTTTAAACAAAACTTTTTGGCCTGTTTTATATACATACATACATACATACATACATATATATATATTGAACGAGAGAGAGATTATATATATATATATACATATATATATGTGTAACATGTTGTCCAGCAATAAACCAGAATTTTATTTTGATGAGTTGTTCTAAAAAGAAAAAGGAGAGTAATGAAATCTCAACCCTTCCTCATGGACCTGTAGTAAGAGCTCCTCAAGGAAAGGAAAATGGTTAGGGAAATACAACATCATTACCTGCCTCTTCATCCCCATCCCTATCCACTTCATTGAAGGTCCCAAAGACTGTGGTGCTATTCTGGGCATTACTGGGAGTAGCCTCAAGATGTTTACACTCATGATTGGTTCCAAGCAAAGATGTGAAGTCCAAGAAACAGTGTGATCAGTGGAAGGACTTCAGAGGCAGAGGACCTGGGCTAAGGACTTGG